AAAAAAAAAAAAAAAAAAAACCACTTCAAGTAAAATAATCATACAAAATTTCACTAGATTCTAACAGAGTTGCTTATCTAGGTCTAAGATTTTTCTCAAAATGGAAGGTATTCTGCTATTCACTTGCAAAAAGATAATCACGGATATCTCTCTCTGAAATAACTGGACCCTAATGAGGGATAATTTAGTTTCTTCAGATTGTCAAACCTGAGAAAATAATACTGGTACATACTGGTATATTACATTTATATTATATTATTGCAGCTACAACAGCGTTTTGTGCTGAAAGTCAAGCCTAAGATGGTCACATTCTGTTCTCTAAAGGAAGTCCCTGATATTTTTCTAGTCTCAAATGGCTCACTAGCTTACAGGCTCCTACCTAGACAAAAGTCAACAATCACTTTTTTGATTACAGTTTTAACTGCCACTTTCCATCTATCAGGCAAGTCATTCCATTAAGACACTGAAATTCTTGACATATCCCATAAGAGGTCCTGCGAAAAAGAGTTCCAATTTCTATTTAAGATTGTATTTAATGTTTGCTCCCTCCTGAAATACAATCTAAAACATCTAGAATACCATTTTTAAATGCAAGATCACTTAAAGATAAAACTCTCCGCTGGAGAAAAATACTTCAAAACACACAACTTCTGTGTTCAGTCATACAGGAAATTGAAACTACATTTAAAAAGTAATATTTTTTAAATAATTATTTGTCCACTAATAAATAACTTTAATATACAGATTCACCAGGACAAGCTCTCACTCTCTCTCCTTATCAAATGATAACTAGGAATATAACTACAACTTTTAAAAAGGCCAGAATACTTATTTGTATAATATAAAATGTTCTACCATTTAGGAACCCAAATCATAAGAAAAGTTTTGATTATACATGTTAATTTTTACAATACCTCCAGTTTCAACGCTCACACTCCTGACATCACCTTTGAAAATACATACCTTGTCATTTCGCTCGTGATCCCTCATGTGGCGTTGAAACTGGGATTCTTTTGGAAAAGATAGCAGACAGATTTCACATTTATGGAAGTTTGGAACTTGATAGGCATAATTAGTGTTCTCCGCATTCAATGTTAAAACTCCATCTATAAAATTGCATAAGTATAGACAATAAATACCAATTGTTATTCTCATTACATAAATAAAACCAAATTATTGGTTACTGTTTAAAAATCAAATTATGTCAGAGATTTATGAGAGATTTTAGATGAAATTAAAGATACACTGATTTTTTTAGCTGACATGTTTTAAAGTTAGAAATGAGAAACGTCGGGATGACTAAGATACAGGACAATAGAATTCTAAATACTTATCAGTGGGCTTTTCAGAACCTTAAACTAAACTCCTGAGGCTTCATAGCCACACACACCAAAACACACAAAAGCCACGATGATGCTTCTTAAACCAGGTGAACCTACTTAATAGTGTTTCAAATCACTGCAAACCACAGATGCATTTCACCTCCAAATCACTTTAAGCGTTCATCAATAATCCACATTGTTTCTTATATCACTCAGTAAACAACTCAAGTAGAAATATTAAAGACATTAAATGCTAATTCACAAACTCTATTCTCTCAGAACTGCTGCAAAGCAAGGTTAAGTCAAAAAGAAAAACTGCCAGGTGCAGTGGCTCATGCCTTTTATCCCAGCACTTTAGGAAGCGAAAGCAGAAGAACTGCTTGAGGTCTGGAGTTCAAGGCCAGCCTCAGCAACAGTGAGAACCTGTCTCTACTAAAAAATTAGCCAGGCATGGCAGCACGTACCTGCAGTCCTAGCTATTGGGGAGGCTGAAGTGGAAGGATCTCTTGAACCCAAGAGTTTCAGGTTCTAATGACCTCTGATCATACCACTGCACCCCCACCTGGACCACAGAGCAAGACCCTGTCTCTTAAAAATAAAAAACTTTGCTCTCTCATATAGACATGGCTTATGAGGTTCGGAAGACAAGGGATTGCACTGCCTCAGACAATCCTCAATTTTCACAGAGTTTCCATAAACCGACCCAGGTAAGGTGCTTTTAGCTTAAAAGTGTCTTCAAATAAGACTATAAATGACAAATAATATATCATGGAATAATCACAAAACTTGTCAAAAATACCATAAAGATGTCCTAAATCTCTACAATTTTTGAAAGTAAATACACTTCAAGTGTTATAATTTGTACATAAACACATAATATACCTTGCTATGCAAAGACTAGAAATACGTTGCACACAGCTATTTATATATCAAATTTGATCAAAAATATTAGACTTCAGAAATTTGAGAGTAAAGGATAAGCTGAAGACCCAAGCCACCCAAGAAAGCCCCTCGGTCTCAAGAGTCTGTGTGGTAAACACAGGCACTCGAAATGTTCTATGGACCTTGAAATCTTTGTTTTGAGAAGACAGTCTGCAGTTCCCATTTCTGCTAAGAATCTCCTGGCTCAAGACTGAATCTGCAAGGACCAGGAGATTCCAAAAGACAGGAGGCAGGTGAAGCCCACGTGGGAGGGGGCAGAGACAGGGTAGAAGAAGTCAGCAAAAGCTGCAAACATTTTCCTAGCAGAACCTTGAGAAAAGGTGAATTCCAGCTTCAAGAAATATAAGGTAATTTAAAAGAATGCAGCTTCATACATAAAAACTGAGTCTACTAAGTAAAAGATAGGCATCATTTTTTTTTTTTTTCTTTTTGAGACGGAGTCTCACTCTTGTTGCCCAGGCTGGAGTGCAGTGACATGATCTCAGCTCACTGCAATCTCCACCTCCCAGGTTCAAGCGATTCTCCTGCCTCAACCTCCCAAGTAGCTGGCATTACAGGCATGCACCACCACACCTGGCTAATTTTTTGTATTTTTAGTAAAGATGAGGTTTCTCCATGTTGGTCGGGCTGGTCTCAAACTCCCAACCTCAGATGATCTGCCCATCTTGGCCTCCCAAAATGCTGGGATTACAGGCATGAGCCACCCCGCCCAGCCTGCATGATTTTTATTCTATTTATTCTTAACTATATTCACATCCTGTTCAAAGACCATACTTTCAAAATTTCTGCATTAAAACTAACAGCAAATGTTTTATGACTTTCCAGGCCCAAACAATATGATTGCTGGGACCACCGCAATTGATATACAATTCCCTTGGAAAACTGTGTAGTGTGGTAAGAAACAGTTTAGAGATTAGGAAGGAACAAATAAAATATCTGTTGAAAACTGGGTTTTAAAAACACAGTTACAAGTGTTTTAACCTAAAGGCTGAATACATTAATAAAAGAGCTCCTCAACTTAATTTCTAAAATGCAAAATTAAAAAGCTATCTGAGGATGATAAAACCATTTTCACAGTCTCTATGTTGAAACCACTTAATATATTGTCCAAACATGAGAAGGAATTCACTGAAATTGATAGATAAAACCCTAGGAGGCATGAACTATACATTTAAAATTGAAAAATGGTGTTGAAGCCGGGGACAGTGACTCACGCCTGTAATCCCAGCACTATGGGAGGCCAAAATAGGTGGATCACCAGAGGTCAGGAGTTTGAGACCAGCCTGGCCAACATGGTGATACCCCTTCCTCTCCACTACAAATACAAAAATTATCTGGGCTTGACAGTGTGTGCCTGTAATCCCAGTTACTAGGGAGGCTGAGGCAGGAGAATTACTTGAACCCAGAAGGCAGAAGTTGCAGTGAGCCGAGATCGCACTTTAGCCTGGGCAACATTGGGAGACTCTGTCTCAAAAGAAAAAAAGAAAGAAAAAAGTGTTGATTTACTTATGAATTAAGACTTTTCCAGAAAAATAGTTATCTTAAGAAGACTTTCCTCCTTAATGAGCTCAAAAAAATAATTTTTTTTCAGTAAGTATTTTCTTCCAAACAGTGATATACTAAATATTAATTTGGTTCAGACACAAACTTAAAACAATAATTCAAATTAAAGTGACTGGAAAATTTTTTTAAAACAACAAAACGGTTTAGTTTCCACACTGGGCATAATTTTGAAACCCAAAGGCGGTCTAGGCTCTCGCTCTGCCTAGGGGGCACACCTTTGCACAGGTTGCCTGCGGTTCCCTTCGCTCTGCGGAAACACCTTCCACCCTGACGCCTTCCTGCCAGGACGCGGTGGCCTCCGCCGCCCCCATTCTGCTTCCGCTTGCTTTCCTTCTGCTCAGAGTAAGCTCTTTCTGGGCAGTGTCCCAGGCCTCAAATAACACCTTTGGTCCATCATGCCTTCAAGTTTATTCAAATTTCTGGTCCCCAGAGTATTTGTTGTTCAGAAAGAAGTCTATTAAATTAATGCAACCTGCTTGGGCATGGTGGCTCATGCCTGTAATGCCTGCACTTTGGAAGGTGGAGCCAGAACTGCTTGAGGCCAGGAGTTTGAGACCAGTCTGGACAACAGTGAGACAAGATGCTGTCCCTGTTTTTAAAAAGAGACAGAATCTCTAATCCATGCATCCTTAGATAAGGGCTTTTAACTGAGAGGAGCCCCAGGTGGGCTGCAGGAGACGGTGCCCCTGTGGAACTGCATACTCACACATGCACATATGCACACCTCTCCACACACCTCCATTGTTCAGGGATCTCTGCAGCCCCAGGGGCCATCAAATCCATTAGGGGACCAGTAATAAAAGAAAGCTGTGATCAAATGAATGACCCCTCTTCATAGAATGGCCTTCTGGGGGACAGCTGCATTTTGTTAAAGGCAGCTAAAAGGACTTGAGGTTTTTAGCAGCACATATTCCTAACGCCTCCCGTCAGAATAGGTATTTTCTGCATTCCTACACAAACACACATACCAAAATGCACAAAAAGCTGCCTGCGTTTAACTGTTACCAAATCTAAAAATTCATCTAGAACAGTACTTTTCAGCTATGTGTTTCTGCCCCTTAAGAAAACAGAGTGTAGGTCACTGTGAGAGTTCACTGCATACAGGGGATGCATATGTAGAATTCCAAGGCAGTTTACCCAGACAGCCACCTCACACATAAAAATATGACCACTGTTTGCTTTAATTATTCACCCTTTCCGATACCAAGAACTCTAAACTATGAAAATTAAACAAAAACTGATTGGACAATAATAAGAAAATGAGCAGCTCTGTTTGCCTTACGTAGAGACTAGTTTCAAAATCAGTTTAAGTCTTTACATAAAGATTCTAAATAGAGCATAATAGTTGTCTACCACTGTAGGGCTGAGGGCCCCACAGGGTCGTGGGGTGAGCCTTATGCTGTACTGAGGCACAGGATCTGAGAAATAAAGAGACAGGACACAGAAGTACAAAGAAAACGCAGCTGGGCTCAGGAGGCCACGGCACCTATAAGCGGAGTCAGGCGAGGCCCTGAAAGTCCAGAAGCTTGAGTATTTATTGTGTATAGGTTAGGGGGCAGGGCAGTGAGTGAAATCATCTTTAAGGATAGTGATAGGGTCGTGAGCAATAAAACATGGGGTCCACCCCCATTAGGTCACCTAGGCCAGGAGGTGGACAGTGTGCAGCATGGGACCCGTTCCCATGAAGGCAACGGCCGCGTGCAGTAAGGGGTCCACCCCCATTAGGTCACCGAGCCTTGAAGGTGGGCCGTGCGCAGTGAAGAGGGTACAGTGTGCAATACTTCTATCTATGAGCAAACTACTTCTAAGAAGATTTATAGGAGGATGCTTTAAGTCACATAGCAGTGACAGAGCTGTCAAGGTTACCGCCACCTTCTGGCAGCTTCCAATGGGTTCTATGGGAAGATGCTTTTCAAGCAGCACAGTAGCAAGAGCTGATAAAGTTCACAGTCACCAAGGTGGATTGCCGGTCTGAGGGCAGACTTTCACAAGAACTGGAGCAAGGTCCTACAATTCCTTTATCAGGAGGAGTGGCTCTTGCCCCAAGCCTGCCATACAGCGGGTATCTTTACGATACTAAACGCTGCCACCTATGCCATGGATTCTTGTCTTGGTATAACTGTTTGTCCCTTAAATCATGCTCTGCACTGTGTTTGCTCTAGGCATTCCTCCGATTATAAGCTGCTTATTCCTTAATTCACGCTCTGTACTGTGTCCACTCTAGGCATTCCTCTGATTATGAACTAAGATATAATTATAAGTATATATGTAGGGAAATA